GATATCTTCGCTCAAATTTTTAAAAAATTTTATTTATAAGAACTAGACTATCTAGGGTTATCGATATGGCGTCCAATCTATGGCACGTGATCTGAGAATTTTTTTCGCCATGGCTAGAGTACTACAGATCATGTTTGTTATGTATATTCATTTACTCAAAGATTTTACTTTTTAGTTTATAGGTATTAAGATCATAATTTTAAGACGTGCTAAACAAGATCTTCAAGCTTTCTCGGATCTTTGAACTTGATCATTTGATTTTAGCATTTAAAATCTACGTATAGTACAAGAATAATGAAATATTCATATTGGCTTTTAAAATCTTTTGTGTTATGAAGTTTAATGGTTTCATACTATTTTCAAACTTTTACTAATTAATAAGTACTTTTTTTTAGTAAAACGTTATGATCTTAAATATTACATTTATAAAGAAGTTACCAGGTTCTTTTATAACCCATTTTAATTCATAATAGCTATCTTTGTAAGTTATAAAAAATTTTTTTATTGTAGTTATACGAAATACAAATAGAAAGATCTATATCAGAGTAAGATTATAAAAATATAAAAAAGTTATGTAATACTAATTATATTGTCATTTCTTTTTAAAAACAGTATTTGTGAAATAGTTTCTGAATTAAGACGTGTCCGTTTAGGAGTTACTTGGTTCCCCGCATCAGAAAATAGTCGTTCACTTGGCACTAAAGTAGCTGGTATAGATAAATATTTTTTTGCCAATTTGCTCAAATTTGGAAAGTCTTTTTCTCATTCTTTCCACCAGTCTAAGGGTGACTTGGTTTTTGAGGCAATAGACATGTCTAAATATTTATCTAATTCATTAGCAGATGAATTATTATCATTATTATCCTTATTATCAAATATTGAAGCGAAGTAACGATTAGTTGAAGTTACATTGGAATGTGTTGATTGTGTGGGTGTTTCGTCAATAATATTGTTATATTCTTCATGGCATATTCTAATTGTTTCTTTCCATAGTTCTTCAGACCAAGGGCACATTTTCTTGAGCCTTGGATCTAGTAAAGTTGTTATAAGGCCAGTGAACATTGGAGTTCCCCAATATTTCCAAAGTGAATTGTAAATTGCCCGCTTAACTTGAGCAATTGTTAATTGGATGTTAAGGGTATCTTGAGTATAATCCTCTTCGTCTTTGCTACTTTCGTCTTCGCTACCACTGTCTATATTTGATTCTGAAGATAAAAACTAATATTAATATTTTATAAACTAATACAATTTTCTTTTTTTTTTTGTTGTTTTTTATTATTATTATTATTATTATTATTTGTATTTATTTATTTATTTATCTATTATTTATTTTTCTTTTTACAAAAAAAAAGTACATACCATATTCATCATTTAGATCATAATTATCATCGACTAAGGGCAGATTTGGATCTACTGTGAATTCGAATTTCAGGAGTTCAATAATGGGATATATGACTGATAACGTAGAGTACTTTTTAGCACTAAATGCTTCTGTTGCATGATCAAATTTTTCAAAAGTTTTAACTAATTCTTCGATTAATTTTCATTCATTTTCATCAGGCAAGTATCGTTTAAGTTTTTGCCCATCTTTTCTGTCATCTGAGTTTCGTGAAATGTTCAAATTTACCTCTAGCCATATAATTGCATCTTTCAATTTCAACAATCTTTCCCAAAACCGATATTTAGAATTCCACTGTGTAGAACAGTCTTTAATTGGACGAAGGGGCTTAGAAGTAGTATTTATATTTAATTGTTTTCTGATTCTGTATTACTTCCATCATCAATTTCACCAACCTCTTTATCATCAAGGTAAACTTCAGTATAAGCTTCAGCATAAACTGAGCTAGAAGATGGTAATATATCCCTTTCTATTACCCTTATTTGCGCTTTCTCTAATCTTTCTTGTTGCTTTGGTGAATCAAAAAAATGAACTAATTTTTTTATTTTTTTTGTTTGTGAGCGAATTTTTTGCAGAGCAAAATTAACTGTTAATTGTAAGGTGTGTGCAGCGCACGGGAGTCAGACAACAGTATTCCACAACCTAATAGCTTTTATCATGTTGGAACCATTATCAGTAACAGCACACACAATCTTATTTTCAAGATTAAATTCTGTGCATTTGTTAATAAGAAATTGATGAATGGACTCAGCGGTATGTGGGTATAATATTTTTTCACAACATAATAACACTCTTTGGAGAGACCAATTAGGAGTTATCCAGTGACAAGTGACCCCAATATAACCTTGGTTATTACGTAAGGTCTATAAATCTGCTGTTAATGCAGCAGTCTTACAAGATGATGTAATTTTTTGTTTAAGAGTATCTATATTTTTTAGGTAATTTAATAATATTTCATTTTTTATTAGCTTATTAGAAGGTAGACGAAACTTTGAATCAATTATTGCCATCATACGACGAAATCCCTTTTTTCTTGGTGCTGATAAAGGTTCATTATCCAGAAGAATCCATTCAATAACTCCTTTGACTATTTCTTTTCGTCTTTCACCTTTATGCGGAGTATTAGTATTAGATTTGATCATCGCTGGTAATGTAGCTTGTCGTTTTTGTGGGGTTTCGGGTTTTAACTTTTTGCTATCAACGATATTATGAGATCATAGATGAGCAATCATATTTGATGTTGAATTTTCGTGAATATACTTCGCTTCGCACTTTTTGTCTACACCATTTTTTTTAATTATAACTTGACACACATCTTCTGTTCCGATTTCTTTAAAATACTTCCACACAAAACTTGATTTATTTCTTTTACTCCTTTTTTTTTTATTACTAGCCAACGCGTTTGTAGAGGGAGTTATATTATTGTTATTATTATTATCACTATCACTATTGCTTTCATCAGAATATACAGTTTTTTGAAAACTAAAACTAGATTGAGATTTCATTTTTTTATTAAAGTTATAGTACTGTATAGGAGACGATTTAAATGTGCAAAGTAGTGTAAGGATTATAAGTCGGATTTGTCAATTATTATGTATTTATAATGTGTGATCGAGGGTGAGAACGATTTAACTAATAAATATTCAATAGCAGTAAGGTTTAAAGTCAAATATATAAAAGTGAAAATATTTATTTAGATTTCAGAATCGAATTCTGAAGCTTTATTCAAGTCAAAAAGCATAGTTTAAATACATTTTTTAAAATATCTATATTTTTTTTTTCATGATCTAATTATTACAAGTATGCCTTCTCAATAACAATACAGTTTAATTATACAACAATGCTTCTCGCATCGATCCGATTGGCTTTGAGCACATATTAGACTTACTTGGGCAGGCTTATGAATATCTAAACTATTTAACCTGTGAAATTATTTTCTTGCATCGAATCGGTTGGCTTTGAATGCATGTTCAACTTATTTAATTATCATGCCGTTTTGAATACATATTCGACTTATTTAGATGCCATTTAACCTGCAAAATTATGCTTCTTGCATTAAATTAGTTAGCTTTAAATGCACGCTTAATTTAATTATTATGGCTTTGAATGTATGTTCAACTTATTTAGTTATCGTGCCGTTTTGAATACATATTCCAGTATTCGACTTATTTAGATGCCATTCAACCGCAGAATTATGCTTCTTGTATTAAATTAGTTAGTTTAAATGCACGCTTCATCTATTTAGTTCCTGGGATGATTAATTTAATTATTATGCCATTCGATCCTGCATAATTATACGAACTGGTTGCATGATTGATATATTTAAGCAAGGCTTAGAAATAATCATGGCATTTGATTCTTTAGGTAAGCTTGAAAACAATCATGCTGATTCTTTAGACAAGGCCTGGAATAATCATGCTATTCGATTCTTTAGGCAAGGCTTAGAAATAATCATACCATTCGATTCTTTTGTAATTCGCTTTGGTCAAGTAACTGGATATGGACTGATAGAAGAATAGTTGATTGTAGTTGTTAATGAGAAGAACTGCAGATGTGGTAAGAGAATTCGTACATATAAATATGTAAGAATGATCTTGTAAGGATTAACCTACGTGTTTTTTGGATTTTATTTTAACTAATCGCCTACTGCCAGATTCACAATACCTAAAACTGTAAAGTGAATTCAATTTGGAAGAAACAATACTTGTGGTGTGGAGATTGCAATACCCAAAACTGTGAAGTGAATTTGATTTAAGAAGATTCTTAATATCTGAAACCATTAATGAATTTAATTTGGAAGATGCTCTGTCTTGCGGCGTGGAATTGCATCTACAGTTTTTATACATTTACTGTATTTTCAAAAAGCACATTCTGTTATAACTACTTGTTTAATAATAAAATAAGATTTCATAGTTATGTTAAAAACAATATGATTTTCTTTTAATCAATGCTTTATTATTAGCGAAGTTTGATTCGCTAATTCATTGCAACAATATCTAAATAATTTTTTTTTACAAGGTTTGCACGCTCATTGCCATCATTCAATTTCTGCTATAACATTTGTGAAGACCTCATTCTAATTTTTCTACTTATTTTCTGTAAAACTCTGAATCTGCAACACGATTTGGTAGGCCGAATAATTTCCGCCATTTAAAGGTATAAATTCCATAAAGATACAACATTTATGGATGAAACGCGGAATAGAAAATGCGGATTGGATTTTTTTTAAAGGGTATCATGATTACCTTCTTGGTGGCTTTTGACAATTTAATGTCAATATGGTGAGATTTGCTTATATCGTTTTATATTCTAATTACTCAAATCAAAAATTTTATCACTGCCGAATCACAAACTTATCGAATCGGCCAAACAATCATTCGGTCAATTTTTCATCAGATGTCCAAAAATTTATTGTAATTATACGGATAACTAATACGGGTCACCCGGGTAGCAAGGGTCATGACCCGGTTAATGGGTGTTATGCGGGTTACCCGGGTAACCTTATACGGGTACAATCTCTAATATTTATATATAATTTGAAAAAAAGAACTTACATTCGAAACCAATACTCAGCCTCTTTTAAATCCTTTATTGTTTCCCAACTTGGCAGATTTCAAATGCAATTCAAAGGCTTTTTTTAAACCAATTCCATTCTAATAACATGCTCCAAGATTACAAATCGCAAGATCATTCTCCATTTGGAAACTTTCTGATAATAAAAAAATGCCTTACATTTGTCTTTTTTAACTCCTTTTCAAAAATGGTAAAATTCTCTCCAATTACCATTTATTTCATAAGTGCCTCCTATCTCTGCAGATTTTTGATAATAAACGAATGCCTTATGTTCGTCTTTTCAACTCCAGTTCCATGATGATGACAATATCCGACACTAAATGCTCCACTAGAGTTCCCCATTTCTGCAGATTTTCGATAATAAATGAATGCCTTATGTTAACTCCGGTTCCATAAGAATAGCATTCCCCAACTTTATATATTCCTTTAACATTACCCATATCAGCAGATTTTTGTTAATAAATGAAAGCCTTATTTTCATCCTTTTCAACCCCTATCCCATGTTGATAATTGTATTCAAGGGTATAAGGGTCTAAATCAGTTGATTTTCATGATAACCCGAATTGCTAAAATTCATTTTTACTTTTAATTTGGAAAAAAATGAATTCACAATTTAAATAATTTAAATGCAAGTGTGTTACTTTTTGCATCACTATCGAGTGTTACAACTTTTTATAGTAACACCAAACGAATTTCGGCCTCAAAACTTCAATTCAATTCGAGTTATATCACTTAAAGTTCGAAAGTTGAGTTTGCTTTATTCAATTTATGTTGTTTTGTAAATTTACGAACTAGAAATTGAGAGTTTATATGTCGAAATTCACTTGGGATAAAAATAATTTAAAATAATAATTTGTAAACAGATTTGCCTGTAAACGATTATACTCTTTTTTTTTTTTAATATATGGGCTGCTGTCAATAGAAATCAAGTAGATTGACATTTTTATAAAAAATTAACCCCTTAACTTTTACTACTTATGTTTTGATGAATTTTGAGCCTATCCTGATGAATTATCATTCAAAAGAAAGTCTAGATCTTAAGCTTTTGAATGTTAATTCGTCAAGATAGCCTCAAAATTCACCGAGACATAAGTAATGAAAGTTGAGGGATTAATTTTTTTTTAAAAAATGTCAATCTGCTTGATTTCTACAGTATTGACGGCAGCCCATATTCTCTTTTATTCCATCATTTCTATCATTATTTCAGAATCGTAATGAAAGAAATGCACGGTTGAGTTCGAGTTTTTGCATTTAATTACAGAATGTTCATTCTGATTAATGTAATTGAAGGTAATAATGAATAACAGATGAGTGTCATCCCGAAATAAGGAATATTAGTGAACATGCTTGGATTATCGATAAGAAAATTTTTTATTCTTTGATTTGTACGTGTAGAATTAAAATTAAATTTTTTTTTATTGAATTAGGTAAGCAGTTATTGAGATATCATCGCTCAAGGTTCAAAAAAATTAGGGGTTTGTAGTTTCAAGTGCAGTGATATCTTCGTGATTATCACGTTACACGATAAACATTCGGCCTAGGTTAGGGTTAGGTGATAGTATAATTTAGGCCGATTTTGTTAGTGCTAGTAACCAAATAACGTTATTGCATGATTTCATGTTAATTGATTATCACTGGGTTCAGGTTTCGTGAATTGGCATTTATTAAATACCGGTCAACTATCTTAAGATCAGGTGTAATGTTACACGATCAAAACAAGCGTTCGTTTTGCCAAAAATCGGCTATTTCTCAAAAATCTGCATAATAAACAATCATTCGTGCTCTAATAAAAAGTTTTCCTTGAACGATTTTACTATATAACTTGTCAAATCTAACCTTAATACAAACGTTAATATAAATATCAATGAACTTTAAAGAAATTTCGTATTTCAGATGTGTGATCGACAATATGCATGTCACACATTCCGGTCTTGCTTTCCAGTCACAATATGCATTCAGCTTGATACAATTAGTTTTATTGACATTCTTGCTAATGCAGTTTTTATAAAGTATTATATTTGATTATAATAATTTTATTAACATAAACGAATTTCCTGGTAAAGGCTATTTTATATTTTTGAAATAATGAAAAAAGTTTATTTCAGCAATTGTTGCGATTTCTACCTTTGGAAGTGTAGAATTAGTGGTTCTCTAATACTAAGAGCGAGCTACACAAGATAATTAGGATTAATTAAATCATAATATAACGATAAGTCACCATCTAACAGAAATTGATCGACATTAACAGTTTGTTGATAAACGTCTGATTCAGTAAAAAGACTCCCCTGCAAAATAATAGGTTGAATGCAAATATTGGATGTTGCACTATCGTCAGAGAGATGTGGAGCTGAGGGACAAATGTCAGGTCTAATACTTGATATGTTATTGTTGTATGGGTTGTCAATGACGAAAGAATGATCTGGACTCGGTGGAGAAGTGTGTTCAAATTTTTGCAGTTTTAAAAGGTCCTTAAATTTTTCTATTTATTATTTCGTAACTTTTAGTAAAAAAAAAAAAAGTCGCCCACGAAAGTTATAGGACATGTAAAAAGATGATTTCTTACCTTGTGTAATTTCGATTTTAATGTCATGATTTTCTAATTTCAGGTATATTTTATTATTTTCTTCGACAAAATTATAATCAACAGGTGGATCTAATTCAATAATATAGGGTAAATTTGCGAATAAAATTTGAGTTAACAGTTACAATATCTTAAGTGAATGCTATTCAACTATGATTGGCAAATAGCAATTTTGAAAGTTATATATAAAACTTATAGCCTGGCAGCGCTATATGGTGAATGCATTAACAAATTTGCCGAAATTATATTCATACCTTCCATTGTTGCTTTACAATTTACGCAAGGATGCATAGCTTTATCTAAGCCACTTCCTTCATGACATTCAATACAGTGGAATAAACACTGAATTTTTTTTGCTCTACACCTTGCACATCTGAACGTTCCCGGTATTCCATTATACTCGCATTTTTTTTTATTTCTGCGGCAACATGAACATGTATTCGATAATCTCGGATTATCCTTTTCTGTTGACTGAGTCGACTCGTAAGAAAGTCTCTTTCCAGAAATTCGGTATTCTGATGAGATATTGGACGATTCAGAAGCTTAAGCATTATGAAAAATAAAATTCAATGAAAACCTTGATCTTGCAACATTGAACACAGAATAATATATTGATAAAAATTTACTTTCATGAACCAGAGAAAAACTATCATGCTTTTGCTTTTTTTTTGCAGGAGGAGAAGTACATGATAAATGACACTTCATACATCTTTTGCAACATTTATATGAAGGATTATATTCGCATTTTCGCTTCGTCATCCTGCATTCTATACAAGCTAATCTAGAGCGTTTCTTTGAGGACATGGTAATTTTTTTAACGCTTTCTTGATAACTAGCTTTTTATTGATTCTGTACGTACGTATAAATATCCGGTTCACGTTACACAATTCAAGTATGTAGTAAATTTATTTTAAAATTATATAGTGACCTAAGAATCTGCTTTTACGAAAAGCACATGAAAAAGGCATAAAGTTTATATCAAAACTGTGTCTAATTATTTCCGTAACTATATAAAACTGGATGTTTGTGCTCTATGCCGATATTAATTATCGCTTGTAATCTATTTGCAACATTAATTGTCAACAAATGTGACAAATACTGAATACGAAAATATATGGTGCAGGAAGAGGTATTCGTCAAATGATAATATGTTACATTTGATATTATTTTGATAAAGTAAAATAGAATACTTTTTTCCAGGGGCACAATTGTGATGCAGATTTTCAATGCTTTAAATCCGAAACAATTTATCGCGATTATTAAGTCAAATCCTTCCGGAAAATATAAAATAAAGTACCGCCTTACTTGATTTCTTATTCAAATACTGAAATACAAATCTCGTATTTTTTTTTTTTTTTTTGCCATATTTTGAAATTTAAAGCTCAATGCAATTTGCGAAAAGGTGTTTTAATTGCTCCGTAGATAAGAAAGCGTGCTATTACAGTGGAATCCCTGGAACTTTCCGATGTGATAGATGTAAGGCTAAAAGGAAATGGTGCTGGTTTTTATGTGGAAAATGTCACGAAAATAAAAATAAAGAACATGAGAATAAAAATAAAGAAAGGTTTAATCCGTGTGAGGATTGTGTGATGACTAAAACAGGTTTGTAGTATAGTAAACGTAATAGACTTAACGTGTTTGACTTTTTTTTACATCTGTAATAACCAACCTTATGTTCAAAGATTTGTCTGAAAGCTATACTATTGAAACAAAACTTTATCTTCGGTACCCTGATAATCATGAAATTGAAATCACTCCTGGTAAGAATTGTTAAAGTCGTTATGCATTTTATCACCTTCAATTAATGCTAATTTTATAATAATAGATTTAGTTCAGAACATTAATGAGTCGCATAGAACTTTTAATCCAAACAAACAGTCAATAATTTTTTGTAAGTAAACTATTAGTTTAAAAAATCATAAATTATGCGAATAATTGTTACTTATCTTTAGCATTGATAGTACCCACGCCAGTTTTGTCCGTCATGAGCGCTTCGTTACCACCTCCATCTCAACAACACGCACCAAGCACTTCTATCACATTCTCCAACCATGATAACTTATTACCATTTATTGCCCTTACGTCTCCTCAACTCAGCCATGATTCCTCATTTAACGCTATTACGTCATATCAAACATCAAGTTCTTCTTCTGGGAATTCTCAATGTAATATTCCGAGTATTTCACCTTTTATTACAGAATATGAAACTTCTCCACTTTGTGCTGTCAATAATAATTTTCAGAGTAACGCAACCTATGACATAGCTTCACCTCAACGTAGATCCGATATGTACAATAATAATCTTAATGTGCAGGATATACTAAATTATAGCTATGGGCAATAGCGATAGTACCAAATAGGTGATAGCAATTACGTGATTATTATAATGAAAATCCCATTATCTCAAAATTATAACCTAATTTGGCCACATCCAACTCATCTCCAAAGGACTCTACGTTTCAAATATACTTCTTTCATAATTTATTAATAATTACTTTCCTTAATAAAATTTAAATCCAAAAAATAACCTAATAGTTTAGGAATCAATAAATAAGTACCTTAAAGGAAAATGCCTTATGTCCACCTTGTCATCAATCTTTATTGATTTTATATGAGCGTTATCAAAGGAAAACCTGTCATCGGACTTTCAATTATATTTTGTGTACAGTTAGCCGTCTATGGAAAATCTATGATTTTCCGTAGACGGCTAAATATAATTGAAAGTCCAATGTTTTCCTTTGGCAGCACTCATATATGAATTATGTACTATCTCCATTCGTATTATTCGTTTACGTAAAATTTCTGATTCTGAACAAAGCTTAAATTATAAATAAAATTTGATATCATTTCAAAAATGGCATCAACTCAATACTCAACTAATATTATGTATGATTAATTAATTCTTTGTTTGTGAGTGTGCAATTAAACTTTAAAGATCAATACCTTTAGTTAATTTGTTAGTCCAACGATACTACCGGAATGGCTAGGTTACATTTTCACTTTTTTTTTATTTCTGTTTCGATTTAGTTAGATTTTATGTTTTTTTTTTTTTTGAGTCTCATGAGTCCCTTGATTACAATATAAATTAGTTATTTTTGTGAACTCATTGTCTAGCAAAGTGCATCCTAAGATGCTTTTCCTTTTTCTGATCCAAGTTTATTTCCGTGAAAGGTTTCAGAAGTCAACTTGTATTCAAGCAAGTACACCTCTAATGATCAGCGTTCTTGCAAAATGCATGCACACCAGCATGGTGCTTTATTAAGTGTATCTACTTTTTCTTTTAATCCGAGAAGAGTTGAAAAATCGCTGTGGCGCTCTCGAAAGTACATCTGAAGATGCTTCTCCTGAACTCTGCCCAGTAATAATCTTGGATCTGGGAGTCAGTGTGTGCCTTTTTTTTTTTTTACGAGATTTATTTACGTCCATTCAAATCCATTTACTGCATCAATTGGCATACTAATGCCATTTCACTAGCTACATCTGCACTATTTTGTCCACCATCCAAGATTGTTTCGACCGATATAACGATATAATGTCCTGTATTTACCATTTCAAATATAAATCGAACGCTTTGCCCGTCTTGGAAATGCCGATGCTACGATTTCTATCGGAATTACCATTTTGTCGACTTTAGATAATTCAAAATGACTCTCTTCTGCAGATTTAAAACATCACTGAATGCTTTCTTTTTATTTTTTGCAGTCATACTGCTTTGATAACGATGTCCTTTGGCAATTCTTTTTTTTTTGAAAACTGACTATGCTCATGGACCAAGATATGCGTCCTTATTTTGAAGACCGGAAATTTCCTTTTTAACTTGGTAAGAAAAATAGCAACGAAAAGAAAACTGGCTTGTTCTTGCGACGTAGCTGGACATAATGTCGAACAGAAAATTCAAACAGCAGGTTACTCAAATCTATTTCGTCATGAGAAAGTCCCGTGACCCATTTGTCACATGGAATGTCCAGTGACTCACAATAATGTACGGCTTTGTGACGCTCACAAGTGGAATAAGTTTTAGGTAATTTCCTGTATTGCAATTAGTAATACTTTGGTGCATTTGTTACATTATAAACGTTAAAACGGTATAACTCTTTTTTTACTTAAGCAAATCTACTATTGTAACTTATGAGTTATGCATAAAATTAACGTAGTTCAAAACTATGTTGTCAAAATTTCAATTTACTTATAAAATTTACCAATTTTCACTTTGAAAATCGATAAACTTTATAAGTAAATCAAAAATTTGGTAACATAGTTTTAAAGCCATATTAATTTTATGCATAATTCATAAGATACGGTAGTAGATTTGCTTAAGTAAAAAAAAGTTATAACGTTTTAAAGTTTATAATATATTTCTATAAAAAAACTAAAATCATACATAGTGCGCCAATCATATTATGCTGCACTATGATAGTAAATCATTTGATGTGAAACACCTCAGTAATACTTGTGATTAAGTCGGACATCAATACTACATATACACATATATATGTAGTATTAGTTAATCTGTGATTATTTGATGTCCGACTTAATCACAAATATTTGATTATCAAATCTTTGTTTGGAACACTAATTGTAATCATGGCGAAAACACGATAACTATTAGGGCACAGACATTTATTACGTAATAAATGTCAGAGCCCTTACTGTATTACATAGTAAAATTGATCTGTTTTCTATTCATCTTTTTTTATTAACTTCTCGCGTGATGTGTCAGTCTTGAACTTTATTAGCAGTATAGACCTATATATAAATTCATTCTGAATCTTTTAGATGTTCAGTATGGAAGAGGTGAATACTCGCATCCTTCACCGCAAATGCGCTAGTAATGACTAAAATGAAATAAAATAAAAAATTATAAAAGTTGGTTTCTCAATCTGTACCTAAGAGATTCAGTTTGCGAAAATAATTCTAGCAGAAAGCGGATAATCTCTGATACCTATACCCAAGAAGATACGCCAAAAGGTAATTCCGGGTCACATGTTCATGATTAGGGATTGAATAACCAATACGTGGACTTTTTTACCGGCTTAATTCCTAAAAAGGTTTAAAATCTTTTTTAATATAAAGAAATAGTTTTGGCGAAGCAACAAAAACAAAATTTTTCGCATAGAAAAAATTGTTGTGCAGAAAATTTACTTGAAAATGAACACTGAGTAGAAACCCGTGACTAAAAGTGCGAACATTTCTCAAGTCAAGGGCAGCTACTCTCTTAAGCCATATAAAATTCGATAGCTACTCATGTTATTCCAGAGTTAGCGTTGCAGAATCTTAAGGTGAAGTTGCCGTCCTAATAGGTTTAATTAATAGCATTGTAATTTTTTTCATCAGTGTCTTTTTTTTCGGTAAAACTGAAAGCATTTCTCAAAAATTCGAACACAAAATAGGTAAGCTCTTTATAAATCTGCGAATATTGTCCTTTATCCGGGTATTCACTAGTAAAAGGTGGAAGGATTGTAGATTCGATATTCATGATTGACATGAAAAGAAAATTGATATATCTGGAACATCAAACACGTCTCTAGAAATTTTTGAGATTTTTGGTATTTGTTCGCAGAAACATTCGAACGATTGAAGAAATTATTGAATGGACTATTCGTATTATAAAGTCAAATGCAGGTTTAATAAAAAGGCGGGAAACCCCGACAATTATTGCGGAAATAAATACAGGTAGGACCGTCCCAAATAAAGAAATGATGATCCCGATCATGCATGTTTAGTTTAGCCAATCAAAATTGTAAA